GAGTTGCTTAATCCAATGATATATTATTTATATACCTTACATCTCAAATGTCCTTTAAAAAAAATCATGAAAAAAGCCTTGTTTTTTTGAGCATTTGTTGGATATTACCCCTTAATTATGATTTTTTTCTCAATTTAATTTGATCTTCCACCCTTGATGGTCGATAACTGATCAACTATCAATCGATTAGTTATCCCCGCCAGGTGTCTACCGTTGTCACCTTTCATCCTGCAAACATCATGGAGTAGGGATGAGAACGAAGCTGGTCTCCTGTCTTACTCACTATACAGTTTTCGGCCATTTTGGTTTTGGTTTTATTTGTGTATCGATCATTGCAGTAACTGTTATACGTATTATTTTAATTTTTCTGTGCAACTCTTATGCTGATTTTACTGTCATAGTAAATTTATCATTAATTTCCAGTGCAATAATTATTTATTCACAATTTATTAATAACTGATAAATACAGTTTTTACTCTCAGTTAATTAAGTGATCTCATGTAAATAAACACGTGTTGTTAACTCCCGCCAACAATGGTCATTAACGTACCTGTATATATTGTACTGAACATTTTTTGGAAATAGCTTTAAATCAAAACAAAAACGTGTACGTGTACGTGTTTTATTATTATGAAAGGTAAGTCAAATAATAAGAAAACGAATACAATATTGTTACTGTTTTTCACCAATAAGTATTTTAACTTGATTTATTTATATATTCAATGTACAGTCAGCAATGCCAGCAAGATGCAAAGGGGCCAATTTGAGTCGTCGAACAATCAAATCTAGAGTCATGCAAAATATAAGAGCACAAAGATCAGGCGAACAAATCCAACAAAGCAATGCAGATGTGCGTGTGAACATGGTGTAGTTACGTGAATCATAATCGCCACAAATCTCTATGATTCCTACAGATGTGTCAATTGAATTCAAATGCATTCAATTCCCAATTAGAGTTGGAAACACCATGCTTTTCCCATGGACAACTATAGGTGGCATGTTTTTGCGTGGGAAAACCATCCAGTTTGTTTCTATTGGCTAAAGACGGACTAACTAAGAATATTGTACACTCTATTGCGCTGAGAGATTAATATTCATTTTTTTTCAACTGCCATAATTAATAGTAAAAATATGAATAATTATTTTTGATGTTTAGATAGCTATCAAGAATTGTAATCTAAAATATATTCCTTACTTTAATAAAAAAAAAATTATTAACCTAAATAAAGCAAACTTTCATTGTTTACATCGCTTTCGATTATAAGTACATCCCCATACACTTATAGTAAGTTAGTTATTTTTATTCAATTAAAAAAATATTTCCTAGAAATAATTTATATGGCAAAACAACATTTACTGGGTCTACTAGTATTACTATATTATAATATATAGTAATAAAATAATATACCAAATATTGACACATACGAGGTTATCTCTAACTCTATATTATTATAGATATTTTGTGCTATACTAAATTTTTAAAAAAGTTATATTGCGTCGAAGTGAATGAGTTAATTTTTTTTGTAGTTGAAAATGTATTGATATACAGGGTGATTTTTTTATCATAACCCACTCAATTACTCGCAGAATAATAATAATTTAAACCTTTTTTTGTTTTAT